AGTGCTGTATTGCCCCACAAAAAAGTTAGCACAGGCCCACCACGTTATCCCTGTTTCTCCTCTTCTTCTTTTTTTTAAGCCAAGTAGCTGCCAAGTCAACAACTCATCAATTTCTGATTGCGAATGTAATCTCACACTTAAGGCTATGAATGACGCATGTGCGCACATGCACGCACGCACGCACGCACCCGCACACACAGTCACTCTGAAGTACTGCTTGGTCTTGGATAGACACAATCTCTGCAGTGCTGTATAAATAAATGTCATCTTCCTTACCTCAAATGGCTCCACGTTACTGAAATGGAGCAAGCTGAATGCATTTCAGGAGCACTCTGAACAGAGAAAATGGCATTTGAAGAGTTTCAGCACAGCCTGGCGGGTGAACTCTGACAATACACCAGGTCCACCCCAAGGACTCTATGGAGTATTGATGTGTGCGAGCTCTGGGTCTCAGCTAACTACCAGGCAAGGTCAGGCTATCATGAGGTTTCATCCCCAAACCAAAAATTTGACACTGAGTGCTAAAATCGGTCCAAAGTAAATTCCTTTTTTATTTTTTCCTCTGTATGTTAGACAGTCACAGTTATGACTACATTAGTTGTGCCAGCCACAGTGGTGTGCAGATATGGGATTCAAGAGACAACTTGGTTGTAAATAGTTATACGCCTATTCCTCTGAAAAAGGTTTATTATGTTAATTTTAAAAATTCAGTAACATTATGCATTGCTGATGCTGACAATCCTGAGTCTGAGGATATAACTATTTAATATAACCCTGTTTTTCACTAAGGTTAAAACAATGAGACTAATATTTTACAATAACTTGTACTAAGTATCCTTCCTAAATAATTACTTTTTTGTCCCTAAAAAGCAGATCTTTTAGTATAAACTTGCTTGGTGCTTTTGTAGTCATCCTCTTCCTTTCATTTGCATTGAAAAGAAAGATTGACTTATAAAGCTTTTGTATAAAACTTTATTTCTATGTTGCTGTACCTTTAAAATTATTGGATTCTGTTCTTCTTCAGACAACTTACCTTTTTTCTGAAGCAGAGCTGACACATATAGAAATGTGCTGTACTCCCTAACTGAAACTTTCCTTTTCTTCTGTTGGTTTTCCCTAGTCTAAAACACGGCACGCTGGTTCTTGGCAAACAGTTGCTTTATGTATGGAAAAATAGCTGTGGTACAGCTGTGTAGAGCCCTTGGGGAATTCCTGATACTCTTTTAGAGGCAATCTGGAGAATGTACGTCAGAAAAAGTGGGCCTTTACGAAAGCAAGGTGCCTTGCTGAAGAGATAAGCGTTGCTACTGGAGAGTTTTTCTGAGGAATGTTAAATAAAGGATGTGATTTCCAGCTCAATGAGACACCTGTCTTGAGCCACTATTCTTTCTTGCTTTCTTCGCCGTCTCACACAAACAAACGGCTCATGATGTTAGTATTTTACTTCCCTTTGTAGCTCCTAGCTTCAACACTGCCACGTGCCACAGACTCGCTCTCCAGCTCTGCTTGTGCCTCTCATACAAGACTTAACTTAGGTTTCCTGTTTTGCTGCAAAGCTTGAAACCTGCTGCTTTCTTCACTCCTCCGGCAAACTCCCCCCCGACAGGCGATGTCCTAACAGTAGCAGTGAAAGGTGGTGCAGGGGCAGGGGGGGGCGGGCCCGGCCCGGGCCAGGCCCTCGGGCTCCTGCCTCTGGCCACCAGCTCCTTCCCAGCAGATCAGTTTAGAGCAAGGGGAAGAAAGTGCTCCCTTCCCCAGTGGGGAGCAACCTCGCTGCTGCCAGGGGCTGCGGGCTCTGACAGCATCAGCCGGCTCAGAAGTGGAGGGGGTGAGTTCATGGACACCGGCTGCAGGTATGGGTGGGAAAAGGAGCAGGCACAAATGGACCCCGCAAGAGCCCGAACACAGCAGTGGAAGCTGGGGTGCGGGAAAGCGACAGGGATTTTGTCATCTCCTTGAACGGCATCCCTGAGCGCCACGGCTCAATGCACTGGCTGTTTCTTGTGTTGTATAACATTTATCTCAAGAATCACGATGTGGCTGATACTCATAATATTCAGTCTCTGAAAAAGATTCCAATGTAACTATCTTGTTCATTACAGAGCACAAGCAGCATGTAAAAATCTAAAGAAAAGCAAACACACAGTTCGCTCCCCACTGCAGTTATCTGACCAAACAGAATCTTGTGGAGACCCTGGGAGCCTTCCTCTCCCCCCATCTTCCCACACCGGACTCCACTAACACAGCACTGTCACTTCTCCACACCCAGTTTTCTATCAGCTTCTGCCCAGCAAATTGTGAGAGAAATCCAGTCCCTTTGGTCACATAAGGTGCTTACCTTGATTACCCTCAGTTGTTGCTCAAAGTCCTCTCCCAGCTGATCTGTTGCTTAGTTCTTTTTATCCCAGACTTCAGATTACAAAACCCTTTCGAACAACAACTAACTCTTAGCTTGAGACAGCGGTTAGCAGTCTTTGTTCAGCTTAGCTTTACTTGAGAAAATCAATGTTTTGTATCTTACTTTGCATGTTTGTTTCCCAGCTTTTAGGCTGTGCTAAGTCTCCAGCCTGCTACACTTGTTCCTGCCCTATCAAAGCCAGAGCAGTTTCCTAGCAGAGCTTATTAGCTGGGGCTTCGTGCCTCACCTGTAACGGGCTTCACTGTGTTCCTGGAAGACAAAAAATTAAGCCTAGAAATGAATAAGCCAAGTGACTGTAGAGCATCCAGCATAATGACCTTCTTCTACAAGCTCTGTGTCACCACCTCGTGGATTCTTGAAATTCAAATGAAAATAAAGAAGGAAAAAAACATCCCTGGTACATACATAGAGAGTTCCTAGAAGCAATCAGAACTTCTAAGCTATGTTAAGGCAGACTCCCTCAATTTTCACCCTGGGATTTAACGAGATTTAATTGTATGAAGTGTTATTTAATTTGAAAATAATTAAAAGCCAAGAGCTCAGTTTATTCCCTTGTGACTATAAAGAACTTTACTCCAAAAGTGCTTTACACAAGGCACATGAGGGCGGTTTTAATGTAAGGCTCTGTTTCTCCGATTAAGCTAATAATGAAGACATGCACAAGGCAAAAATTTAACATAGTTCAGGACTTTTCTTTCAAAACACACGCACAAGTCAAGTGTTAATCTGGCATGCATTTTTTTTAAACATATGCAGTCAAAAGACCATTGAAAACATTCTAGAAAGCAATTTAAGCAACACAAAATCCTCCAGAATTTTTACAGCCCAGGTGCTGCAGGAGCTTAAAAAGCTACAGAACCATTTGTCAAGGAATTGAAGTGTATGAGTGCCCTCAGATTTACACAAAATGAAAATTTGGGCCTAATTTTTTATTTGGGAAACATTTTCAGTTATTCCTAAAAGTGTGATTAGTCTCTGTCTCCACACTCTTACAACAGGTAGCTGCACTGACCTCTTTATTTTACTACCTGAAGTAGCTAGAGAGGCTTTACAGTGGACAAATCTTAGAAGAAGAAAAAGAAATTAATTGTTCTCTGTCATCCAGTGAGCACCAGTGAGTCGATCTGCATCTAAGGCTCTTCATCCTTCTCATCTTCAAAGGTACGCCAAGTTTGCAATTTTGACTTGTTCCTCTAAAAATAGACAACAGGCTTTGGACCTACAATTTTTTTAGATTATCTCTACATTTAGTCGCAAGAGCTTTTTTTCCACAGGTGACCACCTCAGCTTTGTTAGTTTATCACCTAACACAACTTCAGCTGAAAAGGCAGTTCAGCTGACAGTCAAGGGGAATCCCACTGCCCCTGTGATGGTTTGCTGCCATTTATTCAAGCAAGAATGCCAGGAAGCACTTGTCTGAGCTGATAATTATGAATGAAATATTTGATCTAGAGTAACTGCAAAATTAAATTAATGTTTTAACCAAGCGTGACTGTACCTATTGTTTACATAGCTCTCTAAGTATTTTCAATTATGTTTTGTAAAGAGATATTAGGAATATGCAGTGATAAACTAGGAGGACTGAATCTGTTGAGTGACTGTTCCTTTAATGACTTCAAGCAAAAGAAAAATTATGTTTCCTTCCTCTGTAATGAGAGAATCATGACACTTACCTGGGCTCACACACAGTTTTATAAGAATTAAATGGTGTGTTTTCCTACTGAAATTTGTAAATTTTATCCATGTATGGGCTAGCACAAGATCTTGTGCATTTAGAAGAAAATGATCCATTTGCAGAGTCAAATAGAACAAAATAATTTCCACCTCGTCAACTATTAATTAACTTTTTTATTTGTTCTAAAAACAAACAGTAGGCTAAAATCCAGCAAGAAGTAGTAAAAATACCACAACTGTAACATACAAAAACTCATAATGAGGGGAAAAAAAAAATCCAATTAAAATCTACAAGGTTTGGAGGAAAAGCATCTAAGTATTTTCCAATTCTGAAAACGTCAGATGCATTCATGGAAGCAGTCCCTTTAAATAACAGTAAGCATAAGAAATAGATGTGCAAGCACACAGTATTTTAAGCTCTAAGAGAAACAGAATGTGTTTTCTATCAGAATCATTGCAATCATTCAAACACCAATCATTCAAACACCAATCTCCAAACTCTTCTTTGAGTCTGACATTGAAATCTCAGATTAATATATGTGGAGCAACAAGGACACCTTGAGGCAAGTTAGAAAAATGCAAAAATTTCTATTCCACATTGATACGGGAGGACTTATAGATTCTCCCTAAGTCTGAATTCCTTGGAATTGCCACATGATGTAAATGATAAGCTCTTAGAACTGTTTGGCAGTGTCCCACACGTTCCACAGAGTATTATTAAAGCAGTACTTGGTCAGCACTCCTGAAATGCTAGAATATATGCTTACCAAGTAGATTAATTTTCTTGCTAAGAGTTTTGAAAACAGATCTGTTTTTGCAACACACTAATCTTGTCCTGAGTTGCTTTTCATCTTGGTACAGAAATAAAAAAATTCCCTTCCCCCTGCTCAGCATAGTATTACAGTGTACATATTTTTAAAAGAAAAAGTATAAAAATAGTGAAAAGCTTTCTGAAGAAGTTTTAAATGTAAATCTACAAAAAAATTAAACTTTCACAGTTCTTTGTCACTCTCTACAAGTTTCAAGTATTCCTTCGTATTTGTACCTTTGAAGAACTGATATAACAGTAAATGTTTTCAAAAAAGAAAAGGTGGGAAGAGGAGGACATCTTACACTTATTTTGTTTAAGATTTTTTGCACATGAAAAAGCAGTTATTTTTTTAGTATAGCCTCTAAGTTAGAACTGGAGTTGTGGGGCCATTTGTTGAGCTTTCTGTTCCCTTAGTGCTATCTGCAGCCTTAGAATCATCACATACTTCAGAAGGCTCACTTTCCTCTGGCATTGATGGGGTAAGATCAATAGTGATCAAATCAGTTTCCTGATCTGTTTTTTCTACTTCACTGCAAAATTCAACTTTATCTTCCTGCTGGCTGTTCTTCTTTATTTGTCCATTCTGTGCAGGGTAGGTACTGGCAATGGTGTCATACAGAAATTGGTACTGTTCCTTAAATATAAAGAGAAAAAGTTAGTATGAATTGATAATGCTCAGAGCCCAAGAATAAACCCATTCTTTCTCTGTTTTCTTATGTTTTAGAAATGTAACATGTAGTTGAACATGCAAGACTGTATGAAGCAGCTTCCACAGTTTTTGGCATACAGAGTGTTGCTTCTATGGTTTATTCTGATTTCATGTGTATGTAATGTCTCTGTAACTGCCCACATCAGACGTTCCAAGTTGAGTCACTCAGTACCCTCTTGGTTCACGAAGTCCCAAAACCATGTTTTTTAGAGTACCTAAGTTGTAAACAACACGTATTGTAAGGAGTCTAGGAAAGTCATCTAATAACCTGCCTCATATCAATGACAGCTGGGTCTGGTTTGTTAGTAAATACACAGTGTATGCTACAAAGACACAATTCTTCTGGAGTGATTTAAATGAAACAGGTCGATGGCTGCCAGCCTGTGAAATGGAGTTAGCCTCCCAGCTCGGCAGAAGTTAAGGGACACTGTACACGTACATCCACAAAGCAACTGCAGAAACACCAGTTTATGTAATTTTTAATTTTATAATATGCACCCTTCCACAAAGGTGTTATAGAATTGCAGCTCTGGACATCTCACAGACTCCTTCATTTTTATCAGTAATGGCCAATTCCCAAGTAGTGGCGAGTGGCTGTGAATGCCCTGATTAGAACTAGCGTTCCCTACGCAGAAAAGATGAGCAAGGTTACGAGGATATTAGTGCCCATGATAAGTAATCTCATAATTTTTTTCTGGTAATTCACAAGATTTACTTACAAAGGTGGAGACCACTCCGAGCCTGGTGCGACGAAGAGCTTTCACTACTTGGAAAACATCTATTACTTCTTCTACTTCTGCACTTTCCAAGAGGGTCATTAAAGCACAAAATACACCAGTCTGCTGTGATCCATCACTAGAAGATGATGTAAAATGTACATGTAAATTTAAAATGGAAAATCAGCAAGTCCTCTGACTAAATATTAGATTTATTTCAAAGTCCGCATAATGAATTACACTTCCAAAACATTTTTTACTGCACTGAAATTGTTACAATTAAGAATATCTGTAGGACACACACAAGTTTATCTAGAGGCTACCTGGATCTCATGTGGCCACTTAAGGGGTAAGAGAGAAATCAGAAGCTTCAGACTTACAGTCTCAACAATTGTTAGCAGGATTATCCTCTGGTTTAGTATGCAAGGCTATTCCTGGAAATGGTCCTAAAAAAGTGGCCTTATGTACTGGAGCAAGAGATAAACCTAAAAGCTCTGCTGGATCCTTATTAGTAGTATGCTACAAGAGCACTCTGACCTAGTATTTCATCTCAAAATATGCGTACTGGGCAAGAGCCACCTACTCCACTCCCTCGCTTGCCAAAGAGAAGTGTGCTCACTTTTCAGCACTACAATCAAAAAGGTCAAGCTTGAGCAATTCAAGGAATCTTCTAGGGAGAGCTGAGTCTCCAGACACATAGAAAGCCTTGTGGGAAAAGGCTGGCATCCCAAAATTGTGGTTGCTACATATATGCAGAACTTCGAGCTAGGTTAAGGTACGTGCTGAATTCAGACCCACCAGCAGTGGATGACGAGCGGGACGCTGCGGGTACTCCTATTGTCTTCAGTGACTGGTCTGGCTGGGACTTTTTGTTTAAGGTTGAGAATCATGCTGACTAAATCTTTGGGGTTTTCTGGAACATCCAAGCCACTCCACTTGTGATACTGATACTGATACACCTTCTGTGTTTCTTTTGTCTGAAAAACAGCAGTGGAGATGTAGTCAATGCTGAGGTTAAAATAAAGATTCATGTAGTACATCTATTGCAGCTGATTTGCAAGACAAAAAATATATTCCTGAGGAACTGCATGGCGATGTGAGTTCTACCTCATGAATATGAGGTAGGTAGACATCCAAGCTTTGCTCAAAGTACAAAAGACAGCTGATCTCCTGAGGCTCCACTACCACCATCTCAGCAATTCACTAAATGGGAAATTTGAGCTAATTTATAGCATTTATCATGATTGGCTGCTGGTCTGGAAGAGAAAAATATTTCCATTTCTTGGAGCAGGAGGCAAGTGCAGTGGGAACTGTCCCTTCTCTTTCTTTAGGCTAAGTTTATAACAGGGAAACAAATGTAAAACTTCCTTTTGGAATTTGCAAAGAAACTTTTACCTTCAGATGTGTAACATCAAATGCACGTATGGTATAGCTAGGACAACAGTTGACATCTGTCATTTGAACCTCTATGCCATCATACACTTGTTTTCCTTCTCCCCAGTACTGTGCACAGAGTTCCTAAAATGGATAAAAGTACAAGTCAGTGCTTACCATTCAAACCTCCTTTTATTTTATCTTCCACATGCACTTACAGAATGTATTGACTTTAAAGTAGTAGGAGTGTCATTGTATTTTAAAATATAGCATCATACACTCTTCCCCTCAAAAATTCATTAGAAAGTAAATTAAGAAGGTAAATAATAGAACAAATTATATCAGAAAACCAAATTCCTCATCCTATGAAACACGCTTAACTGGAGGATGGGAATGAGAGACTGCAGTGCAGTGTTTTCTTTGCATATAGAGGACCCTTAATATGTCAGTGCGAAGATGACGCCCTCACCTGATCTCCTTCTTTCAGCTCTGTCAGCATAACAATGACTTTGACTTTTCTTTGGAAGACCATTTGCCAGAAGTCAGAAATAGTTTCCTGCAGTGGTCCCTGTGTTGCAATCATGGCTTTCGGACCCCAGTAACCCTATAAAAGATTTTTTTACTATTTTTTTCTTAAATTCAGTTGAAATGTGATTGTCAAGAAACAGAACTCATTGTCATTTAAAGATTACCCATTGAAACAGACTAATGAAGCCTTTTGTTTATAGGGAAAATACGCCTATCACAATAGGCAATGGTCTTACAGGAATTCTACGAGCCAAATGATATTAAACTCAATCCTCCCAACAGTATCACTTCCAGATTGACAACAAGGTGTACTCATGCTGCGGTGGGTGAGACCTCAACCTGCCATTTTCTGCAAAGCATATTTTTAAGGGCTAAAACATTTAATTCTACACAGCTCTTTAATTTGACCACTAGGAAATTGAGTTTACACCACACAAAGTTGGTGCACCAGTCAGTTCACACTGAGCTACCCAAAAGTAAAATGAGATTTACTCTGAATAGATATCCTAACTGTGCAGCATTTTAAAGGTTTCAGATAAATCAAATTCAGCTAGCAATTCCATTAAAATCAGTTACTTCATTAGTGACCAATAACTGCTCTTCTTCTTTTGGAGGTATATATGATCCCAAAAAAATGATGGCCCCAATTTTCACTAGTAGGGTTTTGTATATGTGAATAACTATACTCACATTTTGCTAACAGGGAAAATATTAATATGGATCAACTTGTACGTGGGCAGATGCCCACTAACAGAAATACACGTTATCATGAGGCCAGTCTGAAAGCTGTTGATTTTAAACATAACACGCACACACGCAAAAAAAAAAAAAAAGTGTTTCTATGTTTAGTCTCACTATTTGAGATTGCACAGTCTAAGACCATGTAAGGGAAAAAAATTCATCTTATTACCGTAGCAAAATGTAGAAGATTTTAATGATTAAAACTATGAATGGATTTGCTAATCGACTCTCAGATCTTTTTCCCTTATTCAGGTAAATCCTATTCTATTGGTGAAGCCAATAAGAGAATAAGAGCTCAAGCTAGAATACAGTTTTAGCTGAAAGCTTATGAAATACTTATAATGCATCCTCTAAATACCTACAGTTATGAAGGAAGCATTTATGTATTTGCTTGATTCCTCACAGTCGCTGTCCTCATCTGAGGAATCATCTGAATCATGTTCACATTCTTTATTGCATTCATCTTCGTGCCTGATGGGCACTCGGTTAAAGTCATCTGCATGAGACAAAGTGTCACCGTCATGCCACACTGCCGCTCAGGTATAGCTTTAGAGGAGGGCTGTCCCTGCATGTGCAGGGGGGAAAATAGATAGAAAAAGGCCAGTTCTTTCACAACGGACTGCAGACCAAAGGCCACTTTATTTGAAATAAACGTAAACACTCCCAATAATTCACATTTTTAAAAACTCATCTCTTCTTTTCTAAAACACTATGAGAAGTTTCTAATTTTACAGTGTTGAGAAAATTAGTCAATCAAATACATCTCAGTAAGGTAATTTACTGTTCTCATTTTTTTCAAAATGTAGTAGGTTTTCTTACAGAAGATAACATAAAATAAGGGAAGGTTCATGGAAAATACTTACATGGAATTATGTTGGCATTCCTATTTTTCCTTTTATTTTCATCACGATTCCCAGTGTTCTGTGTCCGCCACCCCTTATAGGAAGGTAATCTCTAAAGAAAGAGGATGTTTGGTATTATGCTTGATTGAAATGGTTCCTGGAATCATTGTCCCCTCTGGACACCCACACTCAGTCTCCATCTCCCAGTGCCTCACTTCTTTAATTATTTAAACTTTGGACACATCTGGACTACAGTTTAAAAATGCTTGCTATACCATGTATGATGGCACAGGAAATCATGCACATAGACACAAGTAATCGTTCTATGTTCCCCATCTTTGTCAAAAATATTAACATCAAAAGCAGGAATAAAATTTCATTAATTTACAGCTTTTTTTCATGAAGATAAAGAAACTGTTTCTGTGCCAGAGAAACAAAACAGCACAGAAGTGATCTATTATGTATGGCATCTCTATCTCATGACTGTTGTGCAAGGCACTTTCTAATGTAAGTGGGAGGTAAGGGCCCTCAAATGCAATGCTTATTTACCTGAAACTCTGCCTCCAGCAGAGAAGGATCACTTGGAGGATCTTTTCTTTTCAGATTGTTAAGATAGGAATGCAGTTCTGAGAGACTGACCTCTGTTTCTCCATACTGATTGTATTCCACTAGCGCTTGATGGATGAGGATGTACTGTGACTGGTGTTTCCCATTTGAAGGGTTTGAAAATGAAGTTATTAAAGAGTAAAAAAAAGAAAAAACCCAATACATATCACTTTATAAAACCGTTATAAGAAACTATTACTCCCATGATGTTATTAGTGTTAATATTATTAAGCATTAACCTTAAATAGGCATTAAATAGAAGTATTAAAAATCAGAGTGGCTTCCAAATTAGACATTTTGGAGCACATTTGGTGTGCTGGACGAAATGTGTTCTGCAAATAAATGTAATGTCATTCAAGAAATATGCAATTGAGATTTGAAAGATTTGCAAAACGCTTAGATAACTTAAAAACATGCATTACATAAGTCCGTAACTTTTGTTGTACTCTCAACTCAAGTGAAAATCCCACCTAGACAGACAGCTTTTAGAATTTGAAAACTGAGTTTGATTTGCAAGTTCAATTTTGCCTTTGTGAATTGTATGCCAAAAGCTGGATTATCAAATCTAAAATGTTCTTCTTGGCTTCTTTTTTTTATAAACCTAAAATTAAAAAGCTAAAGCTTCTAAAACTGAAAAACTGCATTGGAAGTTTTTCTCTCTCTTAATATTTTTCAGAGCTGTATTTTCTATGAACGACTTCAACTGCACTGTAGCAGTACCCAGGACTGAACAGTGCACTTCAAGAAATACTGATGAAGCCCTAGCAAAGGAGAGTTCTAAGTGACAGCAGTTTCAGCGAGATACCTCTACTTGAACCATGAGGCACCGCTGTCTACGCAGCTTCACAACATAGCCATAAACATCCACTCTGCCTTCTGCATCCAGCCCCTCCAGCATGGCATCAATTCCTATATATGTCCCGGTACGCCCAACACCGGCACTGCAAAGCACAAAGGGATTTCGTTATTGAGAAGGAATGGCATCTCCCAGTCCTACTCTGAGAGGGGAGCAGTCAGTAAGAAAGCGAAAGTGAAGATGTGTATCAAAGGAATATAAAGCAACTGAAAACAGTTTTGCTGTAAATTAACTGGCAACAGAAACAATTATGAGTTTGTATTTTAAATATCTTTTAATGAAAGTAAGGCCAAAACTGCCAAATGTGGTGCTTATAGCCAGCATAGCCCAACATTTATCTGGCTTCTTTCCAAAAGCCTATGTATCCTTAGATTTTATTGACCTGAATATCCTTCAGAAAACAAGCCTTTTTATGCATCTTTGGCTGCTTCACTCTCAAGTAATCAAGTCACAAAATTTGGGATCAGCCAAATACCTTTGCCAGCTCCCTTTTCTGAATAGCTGCACTTCAAGTTCATTTAACATTAACAAAATTTTTAAAGAATAATATATGTTTACCTGCAATGAACCACTATTGGGCCGCTAAAAAAGTTGCTGAGAGCATTAACTCTGCGTCGGAGTTTGAGAAGGAGATGCGGATCCTCAGGGACTCCATGGTCTGGCCAGCTTGTGAACTGAATATGAGTGACATCTCTTCCAGCTGTCCTTTCTCTTCCCTGGACAAAGTGAAGTGTGTGTTTTGTTTTGTTTTGTTTTTTTTTAAATATATATACATACACGAAGCCAAAATCAAATGCAGATATACAAAGCAGAAGAAAAATAAGGGCAGTAGTCATCAAATGTTGAAACAGAAATTTCAAACAGTGTGCTGTAAAGTTGTATCCCCAATGGCCTCCCAGGTTATGACATTTTTCATATTCAATTTTAATTTAAAAATATCCATGAATCAGGAATACACAATCACTCCAACGGAGGACAAGCAGGAGGTTCAAAGTGTTGCTAAAAATAATTTTTCTCAGATTAGCCTATGATCCAGAGCATAACATGTCTCCTCACTCTATTCATAAGCAACTTGGCCAGTGTATGGCTCTGCTTACTTCAAGCGATACAGACTGGTAATTCTCTTATGTCTCCCAGGAGTAGCCTGCTGAGGGTACAACAGATTTAAAAAAAAAAAAAAAAGAAATTTAAACTCAGACTTCTACCTTTTAGAAATAGATACAAGAAAACCTATGATTTTCTATGAGACTGACTGTCTTAAATCACTTGATTAGTCACGGAGCACTGTCTTTGTTAAAAGTTAATTCTTAACATCCTGGTATTCTCGCTGTCTTCACAATAACTTACACCTTTCTTTTAATCAGATCACTTCCTGAGTAAATTTTAATGCAACATGAGACGGCAGAATAGAAATTTCCAGCTGTAATCATGGATCAAGATGGGTGGAGTCTGTTGCTTGACTATTTTGCTGAAGATCTGTCAGCAGATTTACTCTTTGAGTCTTAATGCTTTTAGCTATGACTTACGCTCCATTTACCCTCACTGAAATATTTTTGCAAAGGGCCTAAGAGGAGCATTTAGACTTAGATGGCAAATTTTGTTCTCAATTATGCACAGAGCAACTAATGTCATTTCAGATGTATAAAAAAGAGCAATTAACCAGCCTTAATGATTCTACACATAGCCAAATGGTAACTTGAAAACACTTATGTTTATAAATGCACTTGAGATTACTAGAATTTGTAATTGTCTCACTGTACAATTATCACGAGGGTAGATAATGGTGCTCTGTGAGTCACATTGATTTTACTTGCAGAAGCTTATGCTGAGATACACATAAACAGTAAAATTTCTGTATTAAAGAACAAGCTAAATATCTAAGGAAACCACAGTGTATTAAGTTTTCCATATTTAACAGCATATTAACAGTTTCCTCTTAAATGTAGATTCCAGAGTACTAAGGAAAATACATTTTTAAGTTGGGAAATATATGTCTAGCTCATATTTCTTGTAAAGAATGACACCTACATCTGAGAGGTTTTCTCTTAAACTATATGTTGCTGCAGGAAAAACAGCAGAGCATCTTCCATTGATAGCTGACTCTTCTCCTCTTAAAAGGATCTCGCAACAATACCTACAGACTTCAAATAGACACTCAAATTCCAGTCAGCCTTACACTTTTGAATCAACTTACGTTTGTGATGTTTAGTTTCTGAATTACATAGTCTGGACACGTTTTACTTTCATTGATCTTCACAGTGATGTCGCCATATGTTGCAGAGCCATTCTCCATTGACGGCCAGTACTGGGCACATTTGTTCTATGAAGATATGAAGTTAGGTGAGCAGCACGACAGCAAAGTGGCAGAGAGCTGAGAGCTAGAAGAAAGAGTGATTTAAAATAGACGGCAACTCAGTATAGTTTTCCCCGCTTCTCACAGGTCTTGTCCTCTCCTGAAAAGGCTGTCATTGCTTAGGATGTCAGTGCTAAATAATTCCAAATATCCAACAATTCATGTCTCTGACCTGAAGTTTATGCCCATGGAATTTAACCTGGAACATAAAGTGGGGAAAAAGTCCTGTACGCTAGTTGAAAAAGTGAACAGCTACTGTTGCTGTTGCCCGAAGGCTGTAGAAAAGTTTGTAGTAACTTCTATGTTTTCTTTTTCAGTCTTCAGTGAGGGATGTTGCTCCTGCCTGCCTATAACATCAGCTTGGGGATGCTGTAAATCTGCATGCTAACAACCTTTTCATCTTTAAAAGCAGTTAAAACAGCAGTTCCCCTTCTTCCTGCTGTACCTGGAATAAGGAAGAAAAGCAAGTCAGAAGCACCCAACCTTCTAGTTAAAGGAAAGGCAAAGACAATAGATAAAAAAAAAAAATTCTGTCTAGGATTTACTGAGTGCATTGACAGGATATCAGAAGATAATAGACAGAAGAAAAATACAAACCATACTTTTTATGACAAGTCTGTGAGGAGCTAGAGTTCTCCCTTGACCCCTTTTCTGGATTTATTAGCTGTAATTTGGAAGCTCATCCTCTGCTACTTAGAGCTGTGACTAAAGTGACATTTTCTGATAAGACTGGGAATCCCATAAGGCAACACTGCTTTGGTATGCCTTCCAACATAGGTTCTGCCACAATGAGAGAACAGTAAAGAATGAAAACAAAGTACTAAGAAGAAAATGTAATTCACTACAGCACAGCAACCCTTTCTGTTTTCAGACAAAAGAAAGATGGAGAGAAGGATGGATGGATGGATGGATGGATGGATGGATGGATGGCTATTTCTCACCCTCTTTCCTTCCTCACAGCGAGTCACCATGACAATAATTGTTGCCTTCTGTTCCCAGATCATTCTCCAAAAATCATCCGTGGTTTCATCCTTGGGGCCTAGCAGGAGATATTTTAAGGGAGTTTTTCAAAGAGTGTGGCTACATGAAAAAACACTTGCCTTCTTGACTTGCTTAGCCATGCAGTCTGAAAAGCTAACCAGAGATCACGCAAATAACAGACACACACTTGATTTCATTATGACTGCTGCCATTAGGCTACAACATTTTAAAAGTCTCATATATATCTTCAGTCCATAGCTGTGAAATCTGAAAACTTTTGGTATAAAATTAAACATCATGAGAAATCTGCCTTTGAAGTACAATTTATTCATCTTTACAAAATCCCCTAAGCAAAAACTCATTGGCAACTTTTTCATATTAAATTTCAAAATGTCATATTTTCAATTTTTCTTTAAATTCACTAATATTGTTTACTACTCTCTAGCAAAAAATGGGTGAATAAAGAAAGCACATATTCTTTTAAGGTTAAAATTACCTTGTGCAGCAATGTATTTTCTTGGTTCTTTGAAGCCCTGTAAAAAGTACAATGTTATCAACTTTTAGAAAGGAAGCATGAACAATTTAAAAGATTTGCAACTTTAAAAACAAATTCAATATGCAACAGTCCAATAATACCGAATACATTAGAAAGATGGAAAGAACTCAAACGGAAGTCCTCAAAGGTGTTTGACACATGAAATGTACAGACTACAGAATTTCTTCAATAGTGCCTGAGATGTTTTTTAAGTAGAAGTCACTCACATCAATATAACTTGCATTGATATAGTCTGATCCTGGGTCTCCTGCCATCTCTGAGAGCTCCACACGGTTATGATCATCTGTTTAAATAATTTAAAACCAAATAATTATATTATCCCAAGGTACTGAGAAAACAAATATTTATAGAACATGCAAAAATTGTCACAAACACTCACATGGAAGGATATCAATGTAACGGTTTTTGTTCTGATTATGGCTTTTTTTGGCCTCCTTTATGGAAAATTTAGTGAAAACTCTAGGAATACTCTGTAAAATAAAATGTTTCTTTTATTAGGTAAGCATATATTTAAAATAGCTTCTACTTACAATCAAATGCATATGAAAGAAATTTGGTACTACTGTGTCTGGAAGACAACATTCTGTTTCATACAATATTACTTCATATATTTCTTATATTGAAAATAAACAATTTTCATTTTCCTAAATATAATAATATATATCTCCACAATTATATATTATTTATATCCCCATGGTTATGCAGTAAGAGAGAGTATTAAAAATATGCTTTAAAAGGTACTTTAGAATGAGAAGTATTTGGACTGTGTATTTTATACTTCTGCTGAAAAACACCTTCAGGGAAAAAAAAAAGTACCATCATCTTATAATGAGGAGGCAGCAAAATTAACTGAAGCCTATTTGACCTTAAATGACAATTCACTCAATTTTCTAGATTCTTATTTTTTTATTTATTTATAACCACTGCATATACTTCAAACATGCTCTTGAACAGAATTCTTCCAACCACCTGGCTACAAATCTGTGGTACATTCTGAGCCAATGACAAACCTGAAATTCATCCAAGAAAAGTCTTCCTTCATCAGCAATCTTCCTCTTGTACATATCCAGCAATTGCTCCGAAGGTATTGGCTCTATGTTCAGAAGTTGCCTGTCATCATCTTTAACTGTGTAAATACGTTGAACATTTCTCATTACTGACTTTGAAAACGTAAATTACATTTCAGTAAACATGATTCTCAAATTGTCAGATAAATTAACAAAAGGACAAACCTCTTTATTTTAACTAAGCGTGTTTATTTTTCAGAAAAATGGTGTGGCCAAAGCCAGCTGTGAGCGAACAGGCCCTGGGAATAACAGAACTTGTTCAGCTCTGCTGCCTGACTGGAGACACCTCAGGAGGAGGCAGGGACGTTGCATTAACAGCACTCTTGTACAAAGTGGCGATTGTCACATTCAGGTCACAGCAACAGTCCCAACACCCACAACGGTTATATGGCTTTGCCCTGTACTTCAATTCTGGTCATTTATCATTAGTGGTAAAATGGATTACTGTGCAAACAACCTACAAATGTAACAACATGTATTGTCTACTTTTGCAAATTTTCTCCAATTTACTGTCTGCGTTGCAATAATCTGTAATATCGTCTTTAATGATAAACTAATGATTGAACAAGTTTTAACATCTCTAAATAGACATTTATTCATTTTTCATTTACATTGAAAAGATTCTTTTTTTAACCACTGTGTGTCTAAGCAAATGGATTTGAATATCAACATGGTATTACTTCCCATTTAATGTAGTTAATTTCTGTGGGTTTGAATGTCATAAATTATTTTTTTCTTGAGGCTTTCTGGTATTGACTGATTCAGTCTTTCTTCATAGGCTTTGAAATCTTGTGCAAAAAGTTGCACATAATGTTCAGTTTCAGTCTTTGGGATTTGAAAGGCTTCAAAATTTTGCAGTAAAAAACAACTGGCTTTGTTTAAATTCATGCTTTGAAAAAGGTGCACAGGAAAGGGAAATTCTGGTTGAAGCTGTATTCGATTCTGGACTTACCCTTAGGATTAAACATATCACAACCATTGTCTGGGATAACAAAATTGGGTTTGTAATTAAATAGTAAAGAAGAGTTTTTCAAACACTGATAAACTTTCAGTTCATTTAAGTATAAATACTTCTGCTATGCATTTACTGAAGTATTGTTTTTTCTCCATATGAGGTGTTACCATGTTGATATCTGTAACTGCTGCATACAACCTAGAATGTAAACAATCCAAAGGTGGCAGCAAGACATGTGACTAATTTTATTTCCACTTGCTAAATATGTAAAGATACTCACCTGCAACAAGGTTCACGCCTTCAGAAGAATTGCTGTAAGAAGCAAAAGCATCTGTAAAAGCTTTGACTAGTAAGACATATATACGATAATGAGTTAAATAAAAGCAGTTTTGTATGTGAACACCAAGACTGTTCATAACCAGCAGACCACATTACAAGCTCTCTGTGAAACCAGAGTGCTACAACTGGGACTTACAGGCCCTACACAGAGGTGGTTGGGATCCTTGTCTTCCTACTCTAACCACCATTGAGGGGGAGAAACAAGGGAACCACATCAAACACCTTTACTGCTTGCATAATTTTGTCCATATCACCTGCAGCAAACATGTCTTTAATTTTTTCACTGGAGTGACTGCTCACACCATATTTGTTTCTCTTGCTAAATAAGTGACAAAAAAATAACACATACCTAAAATATAATTAAATTAAGTTTAAATGCTAAGTAGCCAAGAACAAGCCAGACTCTCTGGAGCGATACAAGCAAAAATTAGTTTTGCTTCCCTAAGCATAAAAGTTCACATCTCGGCAAGAAGTGTCCCCTTGTCCCTCTAAGGGGAAGAGCAGGGAGGGGAAAGGGGTTGGAAGAGTGGAGTCCCCAAGTTCTGCTGTTGCCAGAGGGCTGAGAGGTTTCTGAAGAAATTGCCCTAACTCCTCCGTCTCTACCAGCAAATGCCCCCTCACACATTGCACCACCTGCCTTCACAGCAATAGCAGTAGTCAGCCTGGCTTTCCAGAGCTCTGGCACAGACATCAGGGAAGGCAATGACCATTCTTCTATCACCATCCGCTGTCCTACAGAACTGCCAAGTTACCTAGAGATGACTATAATAAACAAACCCTCCCTGAGATATTGTTTTGGGTGAATAAGCATTTGAAAGAGTTCCAAGAAAGTGTGCATTATTTTAATAACTTTTAACTTAAATCATGAAGGAAGGGTTTTCCAGATATTTGTGGACATTTTTTCACAAAACTAGTGACAAAACATTTTGTTCTTGCAGATCAGTTCTTCTGTGCCCTGAAAAAGCATATAGCAAAGACAAACCACCAAAAGTTGAGTTTCTTTTGAAAGGATTAAAAGGTACAAGGATGTTTTTTCCCAGTATTAATGAAATATCAAACTTGTAACATTTTTGCATTACCCTTTGGGAAATCTTGTGGAAAAACAGAAAGCCTCCCCCCCCATTTATATAAGAGAGGGAGAGAAACATGAAGCTTACCTAAGCTTTTTTTGGTGAAGATCATAGATTTTGTACAAAACCAGTAGTAAAGCAATTGATGTCACAATGATCAAGAATGCCAAGAATATAATCAGGGCTCTAGAATTATCTAGAAACAGGAAAAGAATAAATTTATTATTTCTTGAATACATAATTAATGGCATTTAAAAATTCCTTTTTTTCCTTTTTTTTTTTTTTTTAAATCTGTATACTTCCTGGAACCAGGGCTCATTGATTTTTTTTTTGTGAAAAGAATTAAACAATTACTTCGAGTGTTTAGTTTAAATTTGTTATTCCAAAGTGCCAAAAACTCTTAAGATCACAGAAAAGGAGGGAATTTTATTTCGTCATTAAAGAAACTTTCACTCAAACTCTCCATGTCCACCTGTCAAAATGCTACAACTCACTCACTGGTTCAGCATTACCATGGTTGTCTCCTGTTCTGTGTGACCTGTACACCTGAGCAGTAGAGCTCTCAGCTGCTCCTGATTTGGGAGTTGGGAATCCCTGACAAGTCACAGATGTTCAGCTCCTGAAAACGCAGGATCTGAACACAGGAGAATAATCCTAAAGTGAATTATTTAAGTTAGAGAAATGATTTTCTAGTTGCATTTGAATGTTTCCTGAAGAAACCACAGCTGTGTAATAATTCTGAATTACGGTCAATGACTTGTCAACATCTGTTACATTAATGCTGAATGAGGATATTATTTTTCAAATGCAGATCAACTATCAACTATAACAACAGGCAGTTTTGATTTTTAATTAGGAGCAATTGTAATGGAATTCACAATTTAGATAATTACTCTATACTATGCTGAAGTCTAAAAGTAAAAATGCTGCATATGTTTACTTACATCTGGTTCTTATACTCCCCTTTACTGGCTGCGCTTTATGTTCTCCATTACACACTAAGATCTGCATGCAGTGGGTGAGAATAATAGAGATGTTAATATATAACAAGTAAAAGTTTCTGCATAATTTTTTTTAAAAGCAAAGCACAACGGATACTCAAAATACATCCATCTATTTTCAATGAATCAACCTCATTGCCAGCAGGATCTGCTGTCAATTATTGTATAGCCATTTATAGTGCAGCTCAGGTTTCCACCTAAGTTGCAGCAAGATCTAGATCCAAAAATATGTAGATGGCTGGAAAAAAAAGTTAGTGAAATGGGAGACACATTTTATAAAATCAAAATCAGATGTATCTCAAGGAAAATATCAAATTTATCTCTTGTCAAAACACAATCAGATCTCTCAAATCTGAAAAATACCCATGCAACATGTAATAAAACATCATTATTTTATTTGCTTCAACAGTAAATATACAAATAGTCTACTGAATTGGATCTTTATAATACAAGTTCCTATATGGGAAGTAATTCATAAAAGGTTAAATTATAGAAGCCAAAATAAACTTAAATAAGCTGCTTTCTTGCAACATTAACTTTTGGGTACTTTAACTGGTGTTAAAATACTAACTTGGTTTAGACGTGTTTATATTTCATAATATATTTTACATTTATCCAATCTTTTAAATTTCCTTAATAGAAATTCCTGTCAGACCCAATAGGCAGCTTGAAGTTTGTATGTCAAATATTTCACGCTTTTCTTGTGAAGAAAAATTAATCTTAAACTTAAAGATTTAATACTAAACAGTGGAGAATACTAACAGGATTGAATAATAGTGATTTTACTAGTAATATTCTCCTGTTGCAAATCATCCAAAAGGGAAGGAGAAAGGCTTTCAGCACCATTGCTGACTGCAGGCTGAGTTCTTACTGAGCCTACCCAATCCCTTAAGAGAAACCTCTCCTGAAGATTCAGAGGACTGTGCTCCAGCTCCCACCCCAGCTCTAAAAGGCCAATGTTGGTGGTTGGTGGTTTCTGAATTCTGCAGCTGGGAAGAAAGCCATGGTAGGTGGCAACATTCAGAGGAGTAGCAGAGGTGGCAGAGAAAACAAGCAAGAAGTTTCTCAAATAGTGAAAGCCAGAAACCTAGTGCAGCAGTCGGGGTCAAAACATCACTAAACCAAAACATATGCTGGGTAGGCTCCTGCTTTATTCCCTGAACAATTCAGTGTGCAGATAGAAGGGAATCGTGACATCCACCAACTCTCAGCGTTGATCTGGGTTTTCTTCTTGAGCCTTCCATAACTTGACCCAGAATCCTTTCATTACTAGTTAAGGCCATAAGGCTTTCTTTGTTTTTCCAGTAAGAACTGGGCAAAATAAGTTCGAAGCAGAAGCCAGAGTTTAGAGCCAAGCAGAAGCCAATTTCTTTTGTAAGGCAAACTGCTCACTGCAAGTGGTGTACAAAAAGCTTACAAGAATGCAGGAGTCTTGTACTATGGGCACAATGCAAGCATCTCTTGCTCCTACAGGACCTTGTCTTTATTTTCCAAATAAAAAGCTTTCTGAGCAGAACATGTTGGAAAAATACTGACAAAGCCTTGGAACAAAACCTAGACTACTCAAGTTCTCTGATACTGCATTTCCTCAGGAAAACACAGAGAAAAGAGGAAAAGATTGTGGAAAATGAGTGAAACTGGTTCTTAAAAGTAATAAAACCCTGTCATTCCTACTGGTTACTTTCTTACCTAAACTTTACTGAGGGGAGCTATCAGGACAGAAAAAGTATTCCTACTGGCCACATTAAGGGGATCACACAAGACTATTGGCTTTGCAAGCAACAAATGTCAAAAGGGTGAAATGCCTGAAAGAAGAAAAAATAGCAGGACGCCTTCAGGAAAGTAAGGCTTGTAAACAGAGGATGATGTATTTGTATGGAAACAAGGACTGACTTGTAAAAGGTTGATGTAAGGACATGCGAAAGGATCTGAACTGTTTTACGCTAACTAGTCCCTGAAGCATCAAAAATATTCACAGTGAAAAATTCTGAACAATTTATTTCTGAGCAATTATCTCAAGACTTAAATCCCATATTTATCCTCTGATTGACATGACAGTCACACATTCACTAAATGAAATGTGTTTTAAACACTAAAATATCGGTTATACCTAAGAAACTATTTCAAAACTTACGGAAACCTCAAATTTCTCTCTGTCCCAAGTACAAACAATCTATTCAGCTTGTATTTTTCATGCTGTCAAAACCTATGTGGGCACACAAGGGATTGATTGATAGGCTAGGCACATATGCATTTTTTTTCTGAAGTAATAGCTACTTCTTTACATCTGTGGCCTACAGATCCATAGATTAACTCCTCTGCCACCATATTGGCCTTTTTTCCTAAAACCAAGTATAATATGCTTAAACAATGAAAATACAGCAATGTTTTACAGATTTAATTTGATAAGCCTACTTACCGTAAACGTATAGTTTGTCAAGTACAAGAGATTTTCTTTTTTAAAATCACAATAATTGGACGCTTTTGGTTCATCATTTTCCCAAGTCAATTCAAATATCTTTTTTGGTCCGTACACTTGTCGACTGTTGCACTTAATTTGGACAGCATTATCAGCTGTCAATATTGCATTAACACCAGTCACTTGCTCTGGTTCTGTTCACAAAAGAAGTGTTACTGGTTCCATTCTCATAATTTCAAATGAAACATTTCAACAGCTGTACGTGTTCCTGTCTGTTTGTTATCTTCTCTCTTAATAATTTCATACTTAAAATTTAACAAGATAAATAAAAACAATTTTGAGTTAACCATAGGCTTGTCTGAACTGGAAAAGGTGTGAAGTTGAACTAAGCTGAGAACATCAGAGCTCTACTGACAGTCAGGCTGCAAAGATAATATGATGGCCACTGTCTTTCTTGCGTCTGACATCACTTTCTCATTTGAGAAATATGGGACAACAGAGAAGACAGGGGAACAAACAGTTTTCTGTGTAAGTGTATGTTTCAAAACTTCTGTAAATGAAATTTCCTACCAGGAGTTACTAGTATATTTTAATATTTGGAACAGTATCCTTTTGCTTAAAGTGTCACATTGTCTTAAAACTGGCCTAAAACCACAAAAACTTTTTACTTTTTAATGACAAGGAATCTATTAAGTCTAATCTGTGTTTTCTAACTCTAATTTTGCATGTTGTAACAAATGGGTTTCAGACTGGGGGCACAGCCCAAGGGACCTTTCACTGAGAGCTTATAAAACTTTTCAGAAAGTAAATAACCTTCTGCGTAAGGCAGCTCCATTAGCCACATTTCAGTAGAACACCACCATGGAAATTTTCTGCAAAATCACTTCAATTTGCAAGCTAGCATATTAAAAAAAAAAAAAAAAGTAAAAGGCAGCTGCTTTTTTTTTTCGTGTGACGAGCTAAGATGTGTGAGGCTTTATGAGCAGATCAAATATCCCACGTGGGGAGTGGCAGGATATTTTACTTGGCTGAGTGTGCAGTTACAACGTATCTGCTCATTTTTATCCACAGGGCAGATTTGTTAGATTCCTATGCAGCATACTACTGAGAGAGCTGTGACAAGGAGAAAATGAACATTTCTGGAGGGAATGTGTTTGTTGTAGATGAAAAAAATATTTTATAAAACGTAGGGTTTTTTCTACTTCCAAGGAGTTTTGCTCTACTGATATATTCTCTTGTTCAAGAAGCCCTAAAACTCTTCCACTATCTGCTTGATCATGTTATCAACTGTTGTAACAGTTGAAGAAGGTTTAATAAATACCATTAATTCATGAAGGCAAGCAACGTGTTATTTTCTCAAAAAATAAGGCAACTGAGGTTGTTTTCCAGACCCATAAACTTATATTGTGGACTGTAATCATCACCCAAGTTATTAAAATCAGTGGAGCCCTAGAAAGTGGGGGCTCCAAAATATACTATGCTCAAACTAGATCATCACAGAGAGAAAAAACATGATCATGATCAAATTAGGGATGTCTAAAAATTAAAGACATTTTTTCAATCTCTGTTACAGTTAAGTCTCAGATCAAATGGTTTACATTATCAATCAATTCATTTACCACCTTTTTGTTTTCCATGGAGCTTCAGGTGATAATTTTGATCCCTGTATTCTTCCAGTTATAAACTAAAATTTGTTAGCTCAATGACCCAGAGGAACAGGGAGATTCCAATGTTTTCATGGATTGTCTATAAAACTGGATACAAAAGCTCTGTATATTCCACAGAGGGATAGGATTGAAATTCAAGACAATAGACTGCCAGAAGCCCCTGTATTTCCCAGATCTCTACGGAAACTCATTTAATAAAAAAAGCAGTCAGATTTAATGTTCTTATCTATCCATTTCTACACAGTTTTCAGGAGTGCTAAAAGCAACAAAGATTTCATTATTCCTGCGGGGAATAATATTCTATTTTTCACTAAAAAAAAAAAATCTTTTCCTTATTCAGTGAAAGCAGAGGAAATACTAATTTAGTATCTTACCAGGTATAAACCGTCATAGTTTCCCTATAGCTGTATCTCTACATTAGCTGAATCTGGAAGTGGTGAAACTAGAGCTAAAAGAGTACTGGAAGAAGTTAGATAAACATGGGGTTTTGGGTGGTTTTGTTTTGGGTTTTTTTTGTTTGTTTTTGTTTGGTTTTGTTTGGTTTTTTTTTCCTCAAAGAAGGAATTGAAACAGTACGAGGCTCACATCTGAAGATTAAAAGGGTGGGAGGGAAAAAGCCCCAACAAAATAGAAAGGACTGTGTCTCTATTACTCCTTGAAAATCTCTGCAGTCTGTTGTTTTTTGGGGTTTTTTAGCTTTTCTTGTAGTTCTGTCAGTTGAACATGTATGGCAAAACAAAGAATCAGGATGACAGGGATAAGCTTTTGAAAGCATACCCAAAAATGTGCACAGACTTTTCTGACAGCACAACGGTTGGCACACATTCGGCTTTAACCTAATGTGGAGTCTTAGAAGCCGACTGTGTACGTGTACATCCAAACTAACCGAAACCTGGTACAGACATCGGTATTGGTGTAGCCTGGGTAATGCAGGTCTGCTTTCAGCAAACAGGCAGCTACAGAACAGAAGGTACATTCTGTACATCCTTGGAGCTTTCATGCCACAAAGAAAAAAAGAATGTTTTTCATTCTCTTTTTATTTAATTTGAATATTTTCTTTCGATTGGGACATAATGCTTTCTCAAACCCTATCAAGAATTTCAAATGAATGCAGATTTTTTTTTTTTTAAATCTAGTCTCTATAAGAATACCAATACTAAATGCATAATTTAAAATAGATTAAGTAATTAAAAAAGAAACACTAATTATATGAATGTCAATAAAATTCTTTTAATGTTAATCACTTTCTTCGCTAATAGTAATAACATATAAAATATAATGAATTACAATGGGAAAGTACATATTGCCTGTGTTAGTATCAGCCTTGTTCATAACAGTTAGCAAACAAGAGACTTACCTCCTGCTTTTGTTTTAAAGGTACCTGTTTGGTTTTTTCCCATATATTTTGCACCTGTATATTTGCTGATCGTATATGGAGTCACAGATACAACACCTGAGGCATAAGGTTCTAATCCAAGGCAAGTAAAGTTAGTCACGTTGACAAGTTCTCCCCCTTTAAGAAAAAATGAAAAAAGAAATTAATTAATGCAATTAATGAAATTTATGTTAGGAGCACAGGAACTCTTACACTTCATCAGAGCTCCCTGAAACCACTGTCATGTGTACTTCTATTTTAATTACCTTGTACGTGGTTGGTTTGTCTTGCTTACTAATGCTAAGTGAAGACTCAGGAAGAGGAAGAAATATATTCCCCAGTCAAAAGGGCAAAAGGGTAGAAAGTCGACGTTTTGTTCTGTTTTGTTTTTTACTTTCTCAGCATGTCATTTAAATGGGTGTAATTAAAAACTAACATAAAGCACATTGATAGAGAGAGGCTCACACTTTCTTCTGTGTTCACCTTGGGAAGGGGTTAATAGACAGATGTCAAAAGTCACTCATGCACACTGGGCAAGTCTGCTCTGGTATGACGCAAGAGATGTCATGTGCTTTTGGTAGCGGCAAGCAGGACAGAAAGAAATTGCACGAGAAGAAACATGAGCAAAGCTATTACCCACAGTGCAGCTGGGGCTTTGGTGGCTTGGGGAACTGGGGAGCAACGGCCTTTCCATGTTTCCTTCTGGCTGCTTTAGATGCGAGCTCCCCACACCCCAGCATAATACCTCAGTCTTCTACACTGGCCGAGCCAGACGAACCACAGAAACTGGTGCATGGGGCTGCCACCCTTTTGGGTAGTGGTCAAATTCAGGGCATCGAGAATGGGAGAGACTGTTTACATCTAGGGAGTGCATGAGCATGACAGCCTTTGGCTCCTGTGGCAGTCCAGGTTTACAAAACATGAAGTATGTGAACAGAAAGAATTAATTAACCCAGGACTAACTTAAACCTGACATATATTTCCTGGAATCATGTATCAGGCTCTTCATTTTCAAAACATCATTTTCCAGTCCTTGTTTTGAAGAAAAGCTCACACCTGGAAAATATGGTCCCAGTATAACAGATAACAGACTTATCCACCTAAATGTAAGGTGGCCTAAAACAGCATATCTGAAAAGAATGACCATTTAGTAGAAGACAACCACCTGGCTTTACCTTTCTAAACATGTATATGCTAACTGCCATACTTAGGACCCCTGACTTTTACATACATTGTTGTTACTCAGAAGGCAGGTCCCTGTCTTCTCAGAGAATATATTACCAGCTACAGCAGCATTTTCTGAGACAGAGCACCATGCTACAAACTGATCAGGCAAGTGATGATTTTGTCATAACTTATTCTTAATACAAGCATGAGAACTGAAGAGTGACAGAGTTGCGTCCTGAAACAGTAAACTGAATAACCATATGGTTCAACGGGAACAATCTCAAAGGAAAGAAACATTTGTACAAAAAACCAAAAAAATTCTGCACAGTTTGAAGAGATTCCAAGATGGTTTGACAGTGCATCATGCTTGGTGCCCTGTAAATATTAAAACATGCAATGAATCATTTAATACTGAAGGGACATATACTTACATGTGCCATTGCACGTCACGTTATAGCCATGTATAGGACCCTTTGAAATATCGCTAGGTTCATTCCAACTAACTGATACATTTCTGGCATGAGACACTACTGTAAGGTTTTCTGGTGTTTCTGGAGCTGTTGTAAAAGAAAAATAACATGGAGGGAAGGAAATGTTTGAATGAAAATGCAGAATATTCCTCTTTTTACCTACTTTGATTCAATTAAATTTCACTGGATACTAAAGCAAGATACCAACATGTAATATTTTTCGTAGTCTATTTCATTCAAAGAAATTATACATAAGTATAAACTGAATATATGTAAAAGCATCATATTACAGTAATTTCATAAATTTAATTAATTCAGGATGAGGTGAATACAACAATATCACATATTACTAAAATTGTCCAACATTTCCAAATATGATACATTGCTTTGATTTCCTTACAATTTTAACAAACTTTAAATGTTTTGCCTGAATTTTTATTTGCAGGTTACTTGATTTAGGTTGATTTCCTTTTTAATTCAGAAAAAAAAGCTAAGCTATTTCCAAGGACAATGTTGGAACATTGTCATTTTATTTGGAGGCATTCTTTGCAATTATTGTATTACATCTTTCTTCAAATCAAGAATTTAACGCTTGTTTTTGACTACGCCTGCACTTTTTTTTTTAATTTGTCTCCATTCAAACTTCCTTACATTTGGCCATGTTCTCACCCTTAAAAAAAAAAAAAATCACAATCTCTGAGAGAAGGAGAGTAAGGCATCAGACTGGAAGACTGAGACTGGGGCTGGAAAGGGAAAGGAAGACTGCGACTGCATTCAAAGAACCACAAGGGCAGGATACCAGGCGGGAGGAGCTGCAGGAGAACCTGAGAGTGGCTGAGCATGCTGCTCAAAATATATCTTCAACCCCAGGAAACACAGATAGTGGGACTCATGGTAGGGTTTTCCAGAAATATGTGGAACATAAAACAAAAATAAGCATTATTCTTACCCCCATAATCTGTTCTTATGGTGAAGGTTTGGTCGACAACATGCTCTTCAAAAAAATGTATGGTACCACTGCAGCTGTAGTTATGGTTGGGTGATAAATTGTTCAGGTCTTTACAAGTTCGATTTGATACTGTAAAGCCTAGTGAATCTGTAGACATTAAAAGAGTTTTATCAATATTTTTCACAACTCCAAAAGTACATGGTACCATTTTACCTGGGATTTTCTCTAGCATATTTATTCAATATAATTTGTAATGAACTATCATAATATTCCAAGCAGAAGAGTGTACAACCTAATCCAGTGACTAGGTTTTAGGTTCTTTTATACTAACTTAGTTAGCATAGATCTTTACTTTTCATCAGTAAAGCTCATACAATTTGACTTTCTAAGAAAACAGCTTTCCCACAGAAATCAAAACATTTCATGGGAGTCTGGCAGAACCCTGGCGTGGGTTCTTAGCCCTTCAGCTCCCTGAAACGCGAAATCTCCAGCCCTGGACATTCATCGTGCATTTTTCACATGAGGACAGCCATATCTTCCCTACCACACTAGCTGCCTTTGAGACAGCATCTCCTCAGGCTGGCCAGCTCCAAGAGCAGAGAACCCGGACTCTCACTATCCAGGAGCCTGCAGAGCCAGCTGCCTGGATAGTCTGCAAGGGATCAGTCCCCAGCAGATCCGCAGATTGCAGGATTTCCAAACTCTCAGCTCGCCTTCAGACCATCAAGCAGGACCTCAAAATCTTCAGAAGTCTGCAATTTGTGAAGGTAGTAAACTCAGGAAATGAGCTCTCTGGGTTTGAATTTTCCCCTGATCTGCAGTGCATGGGATGGCAGTCCCCAACCTAGCAATCCCAGAATTCTGAACAGCCCTTCCCTCAGGCTGGCACAATTAATTTAAATCTGCCAGTCTCTCATCAAAAGATAACATCAACATTGCTTTTAAAAATAAACAAAAAAATAAATAATCAACTTTTAAAATATCTTAGAAGTGTCTTACCTTTGCAGTTAACAGTCACATTAGCACAGGAAAATGAATTTTCCCAACATAGCTTTGCAGATGTTGCAGTTTCATTCTTGACTTCAAAAGGATTCTTGCTTCCGACTGAAAAGGATTAATATTATGTGTCACTATGACATTGGTTATATTGGTTCTTTAAATCGCAATTTGTTCTTTTATATTTGTTGAGAATTGGCACAAAATCATATACAAAGAATTTAACAAGAAATGGAAAGTAAAAATTGAAAAAGCCTACATGAGATAAAGACAATGCTGTTATTCAAATAATAAATGCAACTTTTAATTCAACAATCTCTTTAGTGAACAAAACATCCAGCATAAATAATAGCTTTCAAGTGCTGTCTAGTTTGCTATTGCTAACCATGCTGCATGAGGCCAATGTAAAGTTCGCTTTTTTCCTTTACAATGAGAAAATTACATTTTTTTTACATCCTACTTTAAGAAAATACTGAGAGGTTTTAAGGTGCAACTTCAAAATGCAAAATATCTTGTAAGCAAAGCACAGAGTATGAAAACCTTCTGTCTGATTCTCTGAAAAGAGACAAGAATAGACTAAGAAATCCAGGAAAGCTGAATTACTACATGACAAAAAATTAAAAAAAAAGAAAAAAAGAAATTACTAAAACCCTTCTATACCTACCAGGCAGAATAACAAAAGTCTCTATGCAATTATCAACTCTAACTGTGTATCTCATGCATCTCTGAAGTCTTGTTTCATAGGTGCTGGAACTCCCACTGAAGGTCTGGTTAGTCTCCAAAATAAAATAGTATCTGTTTTTTCTGAGATTTGTCAGTGTAACTGAAACCATGTTATTCTCATCTGTTCCACTTGTTATATTGTGCCTAATATGATCCTCTAAAAGAACAAGATAAAAATAGCAAACAATGATTTTATGACAACTTTTAAGAACCATTAAATGTTTTATGGCACCCCCAGCTTCATGCCTTTTAAGAATCAAAAAATACAGCAAAATTAGCTGCTTCTTATTCTTTATTTTTATTTATCTTTTACTTTAAAAAATTGTTTAGTCAAAACAGAAAATTTCCTTAGGAAAATATTCTTTTAAATAATTCTCAAGTTAGGAAAACTAAAGAATTAAAAAGATGAACATTCCAGAACCAGATTAGCCTTAATTTAAAATGTCAGTTCAAAGTGAAATACTTTGTTTTGACACATTGAATCATTTGTTTGAACAGAAATTTCAAATTTTCTTATTCAAAGCATTTCATAACCATCTAGTAAATAATGGCTATAGCGTATTCCTGAAAATTAGAAAGGAGAGGTGTCTAATTCTGAAGAGAGATAAACCAATGTCCAAACTTTAGTTTTTCTTTAGTTATGAATTGCAGTTTTCAGCACGTGATTATCAGCATGATGGGGAAAAATTAGAGAGGGTCTAGAGGAATGAAGGTAGATCTTTTCTGCAGCCCTGATATCAAAAGCCTAGTGCAGGGCAATTTAACAGAACTGTAAATGGAAATGAGAAGACCAGAAATGTTAACAACTTTAATCTTACTCTTCCAGAATTGGAAGACAGTTTATAAAATAACCTGAGATACTAACTTTCTATATTTAAGTTTACTGATTTGGCCAAATTTCAGGACTGAGAAAAATAAGGGGTTTGGTTCTTACCACAAGGTTCTTCAGTTGTTCCTATGGAAGCTGCTTTAAGAAAAGAAAACAAAATGAAAGTGCAGCTCAGCAGGTTTGTTTATTTTTTTTTTTCCTAGAGCATTGGAGGAGGGTGACTGGTACTGCCCAAAACTCTTTATTCAATATATTCAATACAAGTAATTGTACTTAGCACTCCACTCACATTTGACAAAGGGAAGAAAACATCAGCTACATATAACCCCATTTTTTAACTAGTTATTTTAGGGATCATGTGTCTTTCATCATTTTCCGATGACATCACTGACTGCAAATCAAACTGGTTATTCATAACATTTCTGCATACAAAGTTACACAAGAATATTCCAAAATCACACATTCTTATAGAGGTATGATAAACTATAGCAGTTTCCCAGGATACATATGCTGTGGAACGGCTAACTGAACAGTATCCAATGTCACTAAAGAGACAAAATATACCTACTTTTTGCACAGCTACTCTTACCTTTGGAAAGAGATTTATACAGTAGTACAGATTGCTTTACAACTATTTTACACTGAAATACCCAAAAGAAATTACGAGCTGGTATTTAGAAAACCTGTACAGAAGCTTGAGCAAAGAACTTCATCTTGAAAACAGTTACTTAAAAATATTCCTCCAGGCTGGGAGTCATCTGGCTGAGTAGTGCCCTTAAGGACAGGGTAAAATGAGACGGTCCAGTGGAGAGTTACCAGGATGTTTAGGGGCAGAACACCCACAAGTAAAGGCTAAGCTCAGTCTGTCAAAGAGCTGACAGCAACCTACAGCTCCTTGAAGGGCAAAGATGGTAAGAGTCCAACTCCTGGATGTACTTTGCTCAAGCACACGCATATATTTTACTGAGCTGAGTAATTCCTTACAGCCCAATTGCAATAATAATGTGTGTAAGTGTTTGCAGTATTAGATCCCAAGAAAATGTTAATGCTGCATGAAACAAAAGGGAAGCCAACGGAAAACAGAGAAGCACACAGATCTGTGGATGTATTCATACTTTTTTGCTGCTTGGGCAAATTTCTATGAATATCAAGAGGAGCACTGACACAGTAACTGACAGATTTACCCTCCAACTGTGCCACTGTGTGGAAATAATTTCTATTTCTCACTTGTAGACAAGTAGCAGTTCTGGTATCTCTAATATTACTCATAAACTATTAATAAGATTCCTAAAAACACCCTTAAGTTTAATGCAGTTGTATGTCTAATTTGTATTCTTAAGTTCAATAAAAGAAATTCAAAACAAATTCCCTCATTCTAACACATTTTCTGTGCTTGCAGTATCATAATTGCAATAACTGTGTGCAAGTTTGTCACCTATCGTGTGAGTGGGGATGATCCCAGTGTTTGCTGGCATGCTGACTGGTGAGATGGTGCTGTGCAAGGATGTTGAATTGTAATCATCTGTAAGGAAATAAACAACATATCAGCATTAAGAAGTAAAATTAATTATTTCATATGGCTATGTCATCAGAAACGTCTTACACTACAGCCCTTCTCCACTTTTTTTTTCTTCTTCGATTTTCATTATTTAGAGAAGAATGCTGAAAGAAAAATTATGTTAATATAGCCAATAAAACAGAAAATTAGTATTTAAATAGAAAGCAACCTTTTAGAAATATACCACTTACTAATTAATTTTGCAATGTAAAAGGACATTTTTTTGTCATTATTTGGGCATAATCCAGGATGGAGTCAACATAAAAATGGCGTTAATAATTGTGAACCGGGAAAAACTAAAACATTTTGCTATGTTCTTACAGTAAAACACAATGATGAATAATACCTGTGCTCTTTCAGAGACAAGCACTCCAGTAGTGTTCGTTTGCCAGATCACATACCTTGCTCACTATATTACTTACTATATCTCAGTATTTATCTCTCTGCTTATAAAACACTGACAGGTTTCTACATTCTCTCTTAGGTCCATACCCATTGTTCTTGCTTTGGCAACAGCCTCGTTGACAGCAGCTGGCATTTTGATACTACTGTGATGACTACAAGCCTTGGCCATCAGATACCAGATCCTGGAAACAATTCTGGTATTGCCACTATGCCAAATTGCAGATACCTTTTCTATTTGATGAACCATAAGCTGGAAAAGGCTATACTGAGGCTGAACTACTTAGTTTTCCAGTACAGTAATTATTTAGTTTTCCCCTACAGTTCACAGAGCAGTAAGTGGCATCCAAAGGAAGACGGCAAACCTGATGAAGCATTCTTGAAGGCAATGGGAGTGTGTGTGGTGAGGGCAGCAGTGCTGCTGCGTGGTAGATTGCTGAGTCCCGTGGCAGGGACGGAGCCTGTGTGCGTGGAGAGGTATGTGCTGTCTGCAGGAGAGACACCTGTGGTGAGAGGTACAGCAGTTTCATTAATGCTGCAGAGGCTGCCCAGTCAAGGAAGGACACAAAGCTGCACACAACACAGGACTGCGGGGCTGGAGTTCTCTCGTACTGAGGCATTGTGAATTTGTTAGTAAGCAAAGGCACACCGAACGCTCAAGGTGTTAGGGAGTCCAACGGGTGTCAGCTGAACATCCAGTAAGTATAATCCTTTTTGGCACTGACTGCACCTCTTTCATGCTAAATGTTGTTTTAAAAGATACTCAAATTCATGACTCAAAACCAGACTTGTCTGATATTCTTGCCTCTTAAGACAGTGTATTTCACATCATTGGGCTGAATGAAAAGGCATTACACACTCTGCGAGATAACTGTGTTCAGGAAAGGGAGAGAAGAAACGACCAGGAAAAAACATCAGTGCAGTTCTGTCATGTAAATTAAAAGTTTCTTACCAGATGTAGTCGCTGTTGACTCAACTCCTTAAAAACAGAAAGAGAGAGAGAAAGTGTAAATTAAACTTTCAAGGAATTAAACACAATCATATGCCAAAAATATAAAAATAAACTTTCCTTCCTCCCAACTATCAGCTGAACTTTCTCCAAGGAATTACACATTCTTAAGTAATATTTAGTGGCATGTAGCAACAACCAGATCCCCATAATATCAAGCATATGATATATGGACTGACATTGTCCACATTAAAAATCACTTTTCCTTGAGCCAGGAGTCTGTGCTGTGCAGCCTGAGGGGTGGGGATAGCACCAGGAAGGCTGCGGTGGATGCCAGTTCAGCTGAAACAGGAGAAGAGCAGCAATGTCGCGGTCCTGAATTCACCATTACCTTCAGCGGTGCCTGCAGGTGAGAGTGATGTGGAGCGTGCAGGTGGAGGTGACACAGGGGAGGGAGAGCTGGCATTTGCCAGATTTTCATCTCCTGCTGCACAGTGGGGAAAAATATCATCAGGTGAGCAATGCATGAAAGTGAGAAGCTCATTGCAAGCAGAAAGGCTGCCAGCTGCTCTCTGAATTATATTTCTCCCTCCAACACTGGCAAAAAGAACACATTTACATTGCTCTCCAGTTCCTGCACAGGCTGTGCAACACATCTGCTTGGATTTACCACAAAAGCATGGCTTGCAATTAGGTCTGCAAGACCACTAATTCCAAATTCCCACCTATTTGTCTGGGATTCCTTTGTGGCGAAGAGATTTGATCATTCTTTAGCAAGGTGTGGGGGCTGCACTGTTTTCAGGTGTTTGCAAACACCAGCTGAAGGGGGTGAATTAATATGCAGCTTGCAAAAAGCCCAGACCAATTGGGGTGTTTTTCTTTTGTGTTGTTGACCCAGGAAAGACCCTCTTGCCACAATCATCAGATACTGCTGTGGTGCCCAAAGGAGTCTGCATGAATTGTGGGGAAGTGCCACTGTGACAGCTCAGCATGAAACTCTCATCTGAGAGCTTAAGGGAAGGGATGTCCATAAGGAAAACATGAACTCATAACAACAGCATGTTATAGCTTGAATTCTGATCACTTACTTTGAAAAGCATATTTCAAATCCTCAGCTTTGATTTAATTAAAATAAAAATACTAAACATGTCCTCATCAGATTAACAATTTTTGCTGTAGTATAATTGACCTCAGACAACATAAATCACCAGATTGCTTTAACAGTGATGGAGTCAACCAACATATGATAGAAGTAGATGCCAGTTCAGCTTGAAACAGAAGAGCAGCAATGTCGCGGTCCTGAATTCACCATTACCTTCAGCGGTGCCTGCAGGTGAGAGTGATGTGGAGCGTGCAGGTGGAGGTGACACAGGGGAGGGAGAGCTGGCATTTGCCGGATTTTCCTCTCCTGCTGCACAGTGGGGAAAAGATATAACCAGGTGAGCAATGCATGAAGGTGAGAAGTTCATCTATAGTAGAAAAAGGCCAATGGTTTGCACGACTTTCTCTGAACCACGTTTCTCAGGACAGATTTGACTGGGGAATACTTAAATGCTTTCATGTTTAATGATGTATTTTGCATTATCAAAAGCTAAAACCCCCAAAATCTTTCTCATCATCACACAGCAGTGTATAAAAGTCCACACAGTATCAACAAATAGAAGGTCACTTTTCACTGAATGAAGAATGACTTTATTGCTGAGAAGAGATACCAACACTAATTCTGTTGTCAAGAAAAATCCTACCTGTCTATAATCCTCACTATACAAGAGCTGGAAAGCCCAGCCTCAGCATTGCTGAAAGCTGCTTGCTTTCCCTAATATTAATTTCTAAATGGCAGTGCCCTTCCTGCACCATCCGGCTGGTATTTAAGAATCTCTCCAAATAACTCTTATCTCCAGATTATAAATTACTTCCTGACTTGAGCTGGGAGATATGATCTTTTCACACCTATGAAAACAAGCCTCATTTTTACACTCTGCTTTGAAATCCTGACCCAAAAATTTTTGTCTTTGTGTACTGTAAAATTTCTGTTGCGAGAAAGAGAGAAAAAAATAAATGGCAATGGCTGGAACCATGAGTTTGTTCTCATCACTATATCTTTTACTCATTTTGAGGATTAGAAGCTTCCACTTTGACATAAGAATCCTGAAAGCCATCCCAAAAGCATGCCTGTTCCCTCAAAACATCTCTCTCTAACACAGCCTGCTATGCTTTCAGCAAGGAACAAACTTCCACTTGTTCACACATTCCTTGCTGTGACTGTCCACCATCTTTCATCCACCTGTTTGGCTCTTCCTTTCTCTCCCTTTTTCTACTAGTTCTTTCGCACTATGTTTCTTTCCTGGATTTTTTTTTTTGGGGGAGTATTTTTCAAATAGTACTTCAGTTTTTATAATTTCTCTGTTACTTTAGCTTCCCTACGTGGTACTTCACAACTGTTGTAGCTCTGCTCTTTTAAAAATAAAATCCTTCAACTTTTAAAACAAAAACCCAGGTTTATGTGAAAAACTGCGATACTTATGAAGGATACATGTTCTGTTCCTCTGTTCATGTGCCAGGGTCAAAACCATGTCTCTCATCTCTGACAGAGAAGCTCAACATAGGCAGATGTCCCAGGACTCCAAAGACGTTCTCCTTATCGACCCAGCAAGCAGCAGCACACATGTTGGCTGCTCAATAGCCACCATGGATTCTGCACCCCATATGGACAGTTCAGAAGACCAACAACAGCCATTAAAAAAACACGACCAGTGACGACAAGTCACCTGTGGAGAGTGAGCAATTTCTTTATGCTCAGAACTGTCACGAAATGTGCATAAACTATGATATAAAAAAGAATGTAAAGAAAAGCTAAAATCTTGTAAGTACTTTCCTAGTGAGCAGTTGAATTTGCTGTGGACTGTACATTATTCAAGATCTCTTCCTACAAATTAAAATTTAGAAAAAGACAGTAGTCTGATATTTTAAAGAAAAAGTATCAACAGAAGTCAAATGAAGCTCAGCTAAAAATAGTAATGCAGAGCTAGCTACTTCATTCATCATTTACAGAAGTGGGGAAGTGTGTTGCCTAAAATCTGGTCCATGAGATGAGGATATAGGCCTGCCTATAGTTTGTCTGAAATCATATGAAACTGTCGAAATACAATTGCTCTTAATTGTAATAAATACAATCTGTAAAAAATGTAGTAGACTGACAACAGAGTGAATAACATGGGTTTAGAAGCCACTATATTAACAGCTCTAGTATGTTAACCCATTTATCTATATATATCTCCACTGAAACACAGGACCATGTATACTTTTCAGAGCTACAGAATATTAGCGGATGAAGCTTCCTAACCTGAGAGATGTTACAGCAAGAAACAAAAATATAGATGATCTTTTGACCTATCAATATATCTTCAGCATCTCAAATCTCCAGTAAGGACTGGAACATTTATTAACGGCAATTGTGTAATCTAACTGTACACATTAAACTGCCAAGGAACCTTCTAAAAGCTAAAATGTATATTCATTCATATTTGCCATGAGCAACTAATTTTCAATGTATCTTCATGTTTTTTAAATTCAGTGTTTGAAAGCAGGCAGTTGGTCACTCTAAATTCCATAATACGATTTTTCTTTCTTCAACTGGTTTATCAGCTGAAGAATCAATTATTCCCCCTCCTTTCCAGATTGTACTTTGGTTCAGCATATTAAATATACCTCAAGCCTGAAATTAACTTTCTATGAGCATCTACGCAGATCAACTTTCACTTAAATAACTGTTTCCAAGAAAAGAATAAAAGGAGTTGCAGAAAAAGTCCTAAATGAAACTCTGCTCAGAGATTAGTGAAACATGTAGAAACACTTTTCAAGCTATTCACTGATCTCTAATGCAAACATGATGGAGATAAAAATATATACTTCAAGATTCCTTCTTCCAAGTGAAGATAATATGAGCAAAAGAGGGCTCATAAGGTTGTCACAGTGTTGTATTTCTGGTTGCCTTATTCACTCTTTAAGATTCCCGTGAAAGTAATTTTCCCCATCCTCTCCCTGGTAAAGTTAGGAATAATGCTAGTAGCTTAAATATAACGTAAGATTTATTGCTCACTCACAGTGGCAGATGCTAAATATTACACACAATCATAGAACTCGAGGTTGGAAGTGACCTCAAGAGATCATCTAGTCCAACTGCCCTGCTCAGGCCAGTGTCAACTAGAGCATATCACTTCTTAAAACAGTTTGGAAAATAATAGTCCTAGATTGCCCTTTTTTCCCTCCAAATAAGCACTGGCATTTTAGCAGAACTTCATGGCAGTTTTATGTCCTTCTAGGCATTTTAAAAGTCTCCTGCTCTTCTATGATTCTATTCCATTATATGATTTATTATAGCAACAGAATAGGATGCAGTTGAAAAGAATTCAATAGGTGGCACCAGAACACTAAAAAACTCCTCTCAAACAGCAAAGCAGATACATTTCCCCATATAACCTTATTGAGAGATGCTAGATAAACTGAAGGAAAATAAAGAACGATCCCAACACACCAGACTGTGTTACTCCAATATTCAATAGGCATATCGCTACACTTTATTTTTCCCCAAATGTCCCACAGCTAACAAATACGTCTGAGCTAACGTTAGGTTAACAAAGTTAACCTCAAAGTCAAAACTGTCTGCTCATGTTTATATTCTAAAACATATCTCTGGAATCTTGAAGGTTGAAATCTAAGAATATCTTTAAAATTTAATAAGGATGTTCAACCCCAAAAAACCATTCTGTGTAGTATGAAAGCCTGATGATTACCAAACTAAGCAAGTTGGTCTGGGTTTAAATAGGAACTATGCCAAACCTTTTCACAAATCTTAAACTGCATCCAGCCATAAGACATTTTTAAGATAATATGTGTCGTATAGGCTCAGATAACCCAAGTGGAAGAATTAAAGTGTACAAAAAGTCATGCTACTGAAGGACTTTTCTAAGCTTCCCTTTCCCTTCTCTTGATTGGGCCACCAGTT